TGTTGTGTATTAATGAAAAATATTAAAACTATAATCCAGAAAATTCAGAGTAGAAATGTTCGAAAACAAAACCCACTCACAGTATTGTCAGTCCGTGCTCAGTGGTGTGTGCAGACTTTAACAATTGAACACACTCGGTGAATCGTAAACATTAACAATAACAGAGCTCGTGCCCTGTTTACAAAAACATTTTACGTTTCACGGGTGTATTCAATTTTTTAAACTCTGTACACAACACTGAGCACGGGCTGACGATATTAGTGAGGGGGTTTGCTTTCGCACATTTCTACTCTGAATTTTCTGGATTATAGATGTAATGTTTTTCATTAATACACAGCAAAATCGCTTCTTTTCTTAAATATTAAGGATAAAGATAAAATTTGTGAAAGTGCAAGGATGTGTTAATCAAACGGGTCCAGGAATTAGTAGTTCCAATAATTTCCAGATAAAATAAGTTTTTAATTAAATTTTCGTGTGAAATGCTATTGCAATATATAAGTCGTGATATTATACAGAAAATTTGAGAAAATATTAACTTCAAATCTGTGTCTAAGCACCTTTAATAGTTGCTTCAAATACCGTACAAACGCTTTGACGTTTGCACGTACATAAAAACTTTATGATAATATTGAGGGGTTAAATAATAATTGCGCACCTTGTACTGCTGTCTAAAACTATGTACACGTATATCACGTGGAAAAAAAAAAAAACTCGCAATGCTTTATCGACTCGATAGCACCTACATCTCTTTGAACAATGGTTTAGGCTGATGTATTATAAGCTGATATAAGGCTTCATAAAGCAAATTTATTTTGTAAATGTGAGCATGGAAATGAAAGATTATACATCATTTTAAATATTTCTTTCATAAATCTCAAAAAAGAATTGAAAATGAGTTTCCAAGGGACAATTTTCAACACAACTGAGTACTTGTAGTAGCCCACAATGCATTGCGACTCATTCATCAGTGGGTAAAGTAAACAGACAGCTAATTTACATGCAAATTTATGCTGACGTCAGAAAATCTAGTGGTCTCGACCTGTGTAAGAACTCGCAACAAGTTCCAGTGCTAAACATAGTGCCACGCGACTTTTAATACAAGCGGGGAGTAACTCTAAAACTTTGAGCGCGATCAATGCCAACAAATTTGCAATTGAGTTTTGAAAAAAAAATGACCAAAATAAAAAAAGGGGGGGGGGGGGCACTTTGAGATGGGCGGGCGGGATCAAAGGATTGATTGATTGTATATTGTTTTACGTCCCATTCGAGAATTTTTCACTCATATAGAGACGTCACCATATACCGGTGAAGGGCTTCAAATTTTGACCTTTACTCGGCACTCAGGGCCATTGAGCAGTGAGGGATCTTTATCGTGCCAACGCCTGCCGTGACACGGGGCCTCGGTTTTTAAGGTCTCATCCGAAGGACCCGCAACTTTCACTTCTGATTGCCGAGCGCATGGCGAAGGAACAGTTGCTACCTATTTTTTATCGACTTAGGTCTGTCGCGGCCGAGATTCGAACTCACGACCTCCCGATCACGGAGCGAGCGCTCTACCGAGAACGGTGGGGACCAAAGGAAGTTAATGGTTAAAAAAAAATCATTACAAAAGCTCAGAAGCTTCTTGAGATATCGTCCGGAAACGAAGGCGTTACACACAGACAGAATGTATGAATTTACAACCTTGACCTTTGATCTTTTTAACCTAAATATCAATAGGGGTCTTTCTTAGGCCACAGGGAGTTGTTATGTAAAATTTCAGTGCAAAAGCTCAAAGGCTTCTCGAGATATCGCGCGGGAACGAAAGTGATAAAACAGACATAATTCATGAACTTTGACCTTTTAATCTCAAAATCCATGGGGTTCTACCTTAGGCTTTAGCGAGATGTTAAGTTAAATTTCATTGCAAAAACTCAGAGGCTTCTCGAGATATCACACGGAGACGAAAGTGTTAAAACAGACAGAATTTATGACCTTGACCTTTGACCTTTCGACCTCAAAATCAAAAGAGATTTTCTTAAGGCCATAGGGAATTGTTATGTAAAAATCCGTTGCGAAAGCTCAAAGGCTTCTTGAGATATCGAAATTGAAAATTATACAATACAAATGAAAGAGATTGAATATTGCAACGTTTGACATGCAATATATATTAAAGGTTTATATGCGATAATTAATTTAGAATAAAGTAGTTATTTCTCAGAATTTTCGTCAATGAAATATATATTGATTAGTTTCTTCAATTTTTATTGTATAAATACTTTTTTGCCAATATATACGCAATATACACTGTAATAGATGAGTGATAGATCTCAAAATGTTACTAGACTGTGAAACTTTTAAATGGGCCATTTTAGAAAGCTAAAGCAAATTCATACTTGGATTCTTGAACGCCATAATACGGACTAGTGTAATTATGTATGTCTCCCAACACAGGCTTTTTAAATCGCCGTTTATTATATAAGATGATAAGTCCGAATCAACCCGTCGATTCCTTAAGGTTAAATTTGAACCAAGGTATAGATTCTGTAAAAAATGTCAATCATAATTTTTAATCATAAAAAAAGTTCAGTCGTGTTTTCGACATATTTTAAGTTGAAAGTCTATCTCTTGCATTTCCTACAGATATTCCCAACTATTGAATAGTCTTTGTAAGGCTTATTACATAATAATATCGTATAATAACTTTTTAGAAGAACTAGGTTTTAATTCCACAACTGCTAATTCAACGTATACTTAAATTTTCCATTCAAATGATAGAATTCTTCAAAATCATGCACCTTCATGTACACTGTACTTTTAACATTCTAGTCAATGGACGATTACAAAACTATAGAAATACAACAAACAACTAATATAGATATATTGCAGGGTTAAGTTAATGATCAACCAAGCCCCCTATACCCTAACTCCCCACCAAAATATCATCTGCTGTGAAGGAGAAAGTGCACACATACTGTGATACAACACATTCAAGAAGTGGTGTAAATCCAATGCGGATTTTCAAAACTTCAAACTAATTTTTGAAATAAAACTTTTCAAAACATACATGTATTACTTTTCAGCGTTTTATACAACCATTTCCACGATAAATTAAAGAGCAGGCTTTTTGACATCATAGACACCTGCTTCTTAAATAAAAATGGAACTCGTTAATTTTCATCGCATGTGATTAGTCTTCTATAAAATTACTTTGTTGAAAATCATTCTGATTTTAAAAACACATATACCTTAAAGTTGATGTTAAAAAGATGCTACTTTTTTCATTGACAATATTTATGCATTCTTTGGAACCTAGGTTTTCAAAATGACTCTTGGAATTCAGCCTGTCATTAATTACGCTCCATTTTTAGCTTACCGTTTATATATTTTTTTTTTTCGAGAGAGTATTTCTTTTAAAAACTCTACGTGAGAAGAGAAAAACTCTTCCCGTGGTTTCCATAGATCAATTTGATAATATCGACAATCTTACATAAATTAACTGTTATTTTCCTATGTCAACTCGATATATCCTAGAGAACTCGAAATAGAAGACATCACAGAGTTCTTCACATCTATTTCATACTTGGATATTTATATTTTGCTCTATGTATGAGCAATTTCTAAAACGAGGCAAGCTATTGAGAAACAAGTTGATGAAACAAGGGTATCAACAGCCTCGTTTAGAGTCATCATTTTCAAATTTTACCGTCGATACAATGACCTTGTCAGCACATAAAACCTATCATTGAGTCAAATGCTGACTAACGTTTTTCATACTAATTGTTGGGCCATTATACACTGCACTGTCGACGGATTCTTCCTTTTTTTCGGTCATGACAAGAAACACGCGGCGGGTGTGACCGGTCGGCAGGGGATGCTCACTCATCCATGGCGCCTGATCCCACCTCTAAAATATGAGGTCCGCGTTTACTTTGCTCCAAATCTGTATCGTTTCACTGGACTTTCGAGATTGAATACTGTTCGTTATCCTCATATTTTATCTATAGACGTAAATCTCTAACTAAGAACTAAACTAGATGGCAAATGGGATGACCTCGGCTTTTTCATGGTCAGTTTTCCCTATCCATGCAGTAATATTCCAAAATCATCTGCATATGGTGCTTTTGTCTCCTAACTGATAAGATAGTCAAGAATATTTTCTGAGTACATCAAGTTTTAAACAGAGACAGACTTCTGACAAATATGTTGATGTTACAGGGTTTTCACCTCGTTTAAAATCAGCATTTCGCAATTTCTATGGTCGTTATATTGTCCTTATTTGTAAAAACAACCTATTATTTGGTCGTACTTTGAATGAAATGTTTCCCTTCAAATTAAGAACATGTTTTGTACCATTTAACTACTACAGGTTACTTTGTTAACCTGATCGATACAGAGGGCTCAAAACGAGTGTGACGGTGGACGGAAGAATGTTTACTTCCTCTTGGCACTTGATTCCATCTGGGTTTCCAGGGGTCTGTGTTTTTAATTTACTCTGTTTACAATTAGAATTCTTTACTGGATTTTTGATCACTATTCATTATCTTCAGCTTTCATATGACCATAACTAATGCATCGAATCACATTTCCATATATAAATAAAAAGTTGTAAGGATGTTTTTCCGCTTGAATCAGCAAAGAACTTCCTTTCTCGGTTGAAAAATTGAAGTGATAGATAAAATTACATCAGATATCTGAATACGAGCCGAGGAAGTTCAGATCTAGGAAATAAAAAAGGTAAATGAAAGTCATTTTGTTAATTTTCATAATGTACATCTGAAAGTATGATTGTTAAGAGTTCAAAAATATGTATGCTTGATGAATGTAATATACTGGTTTCAATTCCACTCGTGATAAAATGGACAGTTGGATGAATTAAGTACTTTGAAAGTATCTTTAAAAATTTAGATAAAAATACACATTTATGAATGGTAAGCGTATTTTTAGAATAATTTTCAAAGAAACACATGATGGTAGCTTTGATAAGTAATCTAGTTTTAAATTTTAGAAAGCTTGCATTTCGGAGAGTATTTAACCTTTTAATTATCTTCCTGATGTCATGCTGCATTAGATATGGCGACAGATGGACAGGATCCTTGGTAAGAATTCAACATTGGTTGGTTTTCAATTTTGAATTTAAATCGAGGAATTTACATATAGCTCCTATCTAATAATGTCCAGATGTTCATTTTGCTATTCTGGACTAATGTGATTTCCTCGTTTTTCATTGACCACCAATTTGTAACTTTTAAGGGGTTAAGGAAGACCACAAAATAAAGTAATTAATGAACTAAATTTTATTAATGAAGAAATAGTAAATATTTACATACCTTCGAAATTGGATTTTACATGTTATTATTTTATATAGTTGATGACCATCCGGAAAGAAATAAATTCTTATGTTCATTAATCCCTCCATTTTTTATCTGCAAAGGTGCAAATGAGAGAGAGAGAGAGAGAGAGGGGGTGAGAAAAAAAGAGAGCTAGAGCCACGAACTACAAAATCGACCCTGTCACTAAAATAGTTTAAAAAAATTCCAAGTATTACTCTATGATCTTTAAGTTATAAAACAATTCATTTTTAACATCTTTTCTAGTTTTCTTTTTAAATTCAACAAATTTGGTATTGTTTTCTCCAAATGAATAATTTCACGTCATGACATTGATGTTATATAATGTGAGGTCATGACGTTAACATTATTTAGGGTGAGTTAACCATGCATCGGACACATACCTTGCTTCGGACAAATTCAAGCAATAAACTTTCATTGAACCTGAGTCTCCCCGTGTTTTCACTTGTTTCTGTCTTAAAGCTGAAGAATTAAACTTTTTAATGATGTTGATTTTTATTTTCATGTTGTGATAAAATACCACAAGAATGGCCTTGAAATTACGTCATATTTTGCATCATCAAAGGGGAGTAACCAGAATTTTACGATTTTGCAATTTTTAGAGTTTTCGTTCTTTTAAATAGACGTCAACGGAACGGGTCGGACCTTGGTAAAATTTGCCAATGATTGATAATATTACAGAAATTTTTCAAAAATTTTACTTCAATGTTTGTATAATATATTTTAGAGTTGTTTTTATCTAGTATGTTTATTTTACCGTACATCGGACACAAATTAACCATGCATCGGACACTTTCCGATGCATGGGTAATCACTTCCATTTTCATGTAAAACCTAAATGACAGCTGTTTTTTACGGAAATAGAAAATAGTAACTCTTAACTTTCAATGAAAATACAAATTATCGACATATGACGACTAGAAGTGGACTCAATTTATTTCTATAAACTAGATGATTATAACCCACGAGACAAAGGCGCGAATTGCCATATTACTAGCAGTGGAAAGCCTTTCTAAGGCGATGTGATGCAACTAAAATCTCTTCATATTTGTGGATCGAAATAGTCTTTCAAATTTAATTAGAAGGTTAATTTTTAAATAAAAGATAAAAATGTTTCGATATCACTAATTTTAAAGCACCGAGATCAAGGTATGATATTTTTCTGGTTTAAATATCGTATGTCCGATGCATGGTGAATATTGTCCGATCCATGGTGAATTCTGACTTATTTCGAAAAAATCGGTTTTTAATGATATTTTCTCAATAAATAGGGCACGATTGTGTCAAAAATTTATATTTTAAACACACACTACATGATAAGTTCCATTTTGATAATATTCGGTCGGTAGCGATATCGCTAGAACTTTTTGAAGTGCAAGGGTGTCCGACGCATGGTGAATTCACCCTATAGAAGGTTATAAATGTGCATAAATGGAAAAAAAAATCCACCAAAATAGGTCCTCCTTAAAAAAATTACTATGAGTTTTAAGGAGTTCTTTAGCTAACTTTTGAATTTCTTATCTAAAATAATTTTTGGAAACGTAAGAATTTAAATGTTAGTTTGGCACCAAGCAAAAATTAAGATGATAATCAGCATGGAAATTTGTGTTAGCGGTATATTTACATATGATTAGTACGAAAGAGGTTCTTGGCTATGGCGCCACATTTATCTTCGTGAGAAAATGTCAAAAAATCGTCATTTTTAACGTTTTTTTTAAGAAACCGTCACTTGTTCTAACGTCACGCGTCCCAAATGGCGCAGGATTAAAAATGTTTTACATTTAGAAAAGAGGTGTGCTACTAACATTCAAAGTAGAATACCCTTCTTTAATCGAAACTTTAATTTTTGTAAAACATGAGGACAAATATGATGGTTCGTGGCCCTGGCGATTAAAGTGGTAGTTAGCTGCTTATCTGTTTATTTTGTTTTTAATTTTTTTAAAAGACTGAACGGAAATAACCTTTACAAAACACTTCTTTTAAACTTTCTGATTGGTTGTTCAAGTCAGAATTGGCAAGGAGGTAATTGATAATCAAAAGTTGCTTATTCTAAATTAAAAAATACCACTTAACATTTAAATTCTTGATAATCAATTCTTTATAGCATTTATGGAATTGATGTGGAGAAGTACACAAAATGTCCATGCTGTTTGAAAACTTACGATGACCCTTGGTTCTTACAATGCGGACACACAATGAACTCGAGGTGTATTCGTAAGCAGCAACCGATTGTAAGATGCTATGTATGTGAGGACACCTTTCTTCAGGCTACATGTAGGCTCGGCAGAAATCGGTTTGCAAGTGATCTTGCTTTGAAGGTTACATACAGGGAAATAACAAATCTTTTGCTGACTAACCCTGGATGTTCTTTGAGTCAGCATACAGATAAAAGTGCAGTAAGTTACTGTGAAAAATGCAGTATGAGGATGTGTTTCAATTGTAATCAATTCCATAGCATGAATCCCTCAACTAAAAGACACAAAACATATGATGTCAGTGAGATGATTGCCGGGAAGTGCCAGGGGGACATAACTGTTAATCCACAGTCACTTTGTGAACATCACGATTATGAAATCATTAAGAGTTGGTGTTTGGACTGTAAAATTCCAGCTTGTGATGAAAGTTGTTCAGAACATCATTTAGAATCACTCTCAGAACATGCATCAAGCGCAGAAAGAGAAATTAAGATCATTAAAGAAAAACTGGAAACAGGCTTGTCTGCTATAAAGGTAGATTTTGAGGTGGTAAAGCAAAATAGAAGAAGAATAAAACGAGAAGGACACTACAAAGGAGAAATTGCTTCAGAGTTGGACTGGTCAAAACAAAAATGCAAACTGGTTATCAAAATATACATCGTCTTATTACGTGAAGTGGCATTGCTTCAAAAGAAGGGGAACGAATTTCACAAGTGTTATACTCTGCCATTTTTTTCATTCCAAACCAAAAGAATTCAAGAATCGACCAACAGTATTCCAAGTAGTAGTCGGTGTGCCAGCATCAGCTCATCTGCATCAACCAACAGCGATTCCAGCTGGACAGCCACGTCTAGCATGTATATCAATTCAAGACAATCCAACCCGCTATATATTTCATCTGACAGGGCGACATATATGAATATGAGAAGAATGAGTAAAATGGATGCATTATATGACAACGAGGTAGGAAAGAGGTGAAGTAAATTTAATCTAATGACAACCATGTATAAAACAGCTGGCATAACAAACAATTTTACAGATGATTTATAGTAAACAAATATGTACACTTTTATAAAAAAAATTTCAATAAAAAAATCCTCGGTCATCCTGAATACTAGTGCACATACGAATAAAGAAAGGATTGGAGATGCTTTATTAGCATGAACGGTATATAACTGTTAAGTTTACTTTTATTGTAAAAAAATAGTTAATTTTCAAAAATATCATGCAAATAAAAATGCTGAATATATGTACATAATTCTGTTTTTCTAAATTCTCATCTCGTAGCAACTGTACACTGACATCAGTCAAATCGAATCCTCAAGAGTCAAAGAGTCGTCTTTGTCATGGAATAGAAGCACACATCTCAGTGAAGACATTCACGAAAGACTTAATTATTTTGACACTGAATCAAGAATTACAGGTAAGGAACTTCAGAGTATGCTTCATATGTTTTTGTCAGCAAATACAATATCACTAAATCGATTGTCGACATTTCATACAAATTGTTTCAATTATGCCATAATTTACACACTGAATTATCTACGGTTTTTCCATTTGCCTGATCATGACAAGGAGTACACGGCGGGGGTGACCGGTCGACAAAGGATCAAGGAGTGCTTACTCCTCCATGGCACCTAATCCCTCCTCTGATGTTTTTTTAGAGGTCCGTGTTGCTCTGCTCCAAATTTGTATTGTTCATTGGACTTTTGAGCTTGATTACTGTTCGTTATCTCCCTATTTCATATCATCCTGTGATTTTATAACCACATATTGACATAATTTGTCAAAAAGTACATATATCGGAGAATAACTAATTGATTGAAAATTTAATACAAAGTATGACATCAGAACTCTTTTTTCTGAAAACAAATTTATCATGATAGAGGGCATCCTGTATTAATATAGCCAAGATGCAAAAATAGCATATGATGAATGCAAAAGAGTGAAGCAACAATGAATGGAAAAGTACAAATGTTTAAATTTACAACTTTTTATTGAAAATAATAATGTCGTTATTTCTCGATTTGAAACTTTCAGGAACTTTTAAGGAAACTATAGTGAATATGAGTGAATTTTGTATTCGTCCATATACGTTCATGTATGGTAAACTTACTTTACTTTTTAGAATTTGGTGTAAAATCATACAAAAACTATAACATAATTTTTGATGGTTTTTGTATCAAATACTATGATTTGTTACTAACATTATTTGTATATCATTTAATCATTTTTTTAGTGTGATCTTAGAGGTATTTTATTGTATGTAAATATTTTTTTAATATAACATTAAATTTACTTAAAACATATCGATGAATAAGGCTAACTTAAATAGATATTTTGATTCATGTCAGATGATATGTGCTGGAATACTTCCTTTGTACAGTCTTGACTTTTGTACTGTCCTCAGAAGTCATTTAAATGAGTACACTGATCAGGCAGTAAATAACATGTTTCTCTACTTATGTTAAACAATTTTTACAATACTGAGTCATTGCGTGTTATAATAGACTAAGTGCATATTCTTTTAAATACAATGCTGTGTACAATATTTATTCACAGGCAAGTATAGCAATGTTTTTCTTTTTTAAAGTAAGAACTAGGAGAGGCAGAAAAAAAATTATTGACATTAAAAAAGGATCCTGATAAAAGTGACAATGAAAAAAAAACGAAAACTGAAAATTGTCCAAATGTGACTCGAAAAATTTCTTTGAGAAAGAGAGAGAGAGAGAGAAGCCCACTCTTTTTCGGCAAAACATTGGATACCAAATATGGGAGAGTTCTTCCATACTAAGATAAAAAGTGTAGGGGGTTGTGTGGATAGTAGCCTACTAGCCTCAATTTTCCTTTTATATTAATAGCATAAACTTTCCTTGGCAAGTAGGAGGCTGTACCCTGATAATTGTGTTTATTCTTGGTGAAGAAATTGTGATTTGTTCAAACATTAATTTTCAAGAAACGCCACTTGCTAAAAATTATCTCCAGCTAGTTGTAACTAAGACACCATTTTTTTTCCATTACCGGTTCATTCAAATTAAATGTGAATTTGGAATAAGAAAGACGAACTCAAGAAAAAAAAATCAACAAATATATATACATATATTGACAATATAGGTACCAATTAATTTTTTTGATTTTAGGTATGGTGTTTGTGAATGACACCATCATAGTTGCCAGTCATTCTGCTGGATGTTGTACTGGTTATGACATCCATGGGAAAAATTTATGGGATATAACAGAACGACTGAATGGACCCTTCGATGTAGCAGCATATAAGTCGGACGACGGAAAACAATATCTTTATATCACAGATCCTGGAAGACGATATAGTATTTCATTTTTACAGTTGGGATGATAAACAGATACATTCGATAGATTGATTGATTACATTTATAAACTAATCTAAAGAAAAAAAAAAACTCATATCCAAATATTAAATTATTTATCAAGTTTATGTGAATTAAGAAATTAATTTTCATCATAAAAAGTTCTTTAAAACTAATGATTTATATTTGTGGATCAATAAATTGTTATAAAAATTGTTTCTATTATATAAACTCATAGCATTCAATACTTTATATTTCCATTACTGGAACTCTTCAAATTAGAGGCGCGTTTGGTCGTCTGATTGGGACAACAATGACGTAGGGGAGAATACAAAACATGCCGATCTCAATCCAATTTTGAATGTTTAATGAATTTGTCATTCCAGTTAGAATAGAAGAACAAATAGGCATATGTGAGATTGCGAAAGCCAAGAATTTATCATCCATTGATAAACATTACGACGTTTCCGAGGCATATACATTGTATTTAGAGACGGACCGTCAACACTAAGTCTTGTCAACAACATCCTGTGGTGATAAAATTGACGTTGTTGTTTCTACTTCTTATGCATGTTAAGTCCACAAAAATACAGTGTCTCATTTGCATGTTTGTTACGCGTTTTTTCATCGACATTCAACATACTGTTTACATGTTGTTACGACTGTCCCTGAAATCCCGCGAGATTTGTACATTTTCCGACTTTTTCACAAAAGAGCGCACTAAGAACTATAACTCTTCCATGGTGGAAATAGAACGTATTGCTGAGTACTATTGATAATTAAGCTTTCACAATTTATATGTTTAATTTTTCTTTAACAGTAACTTCAGACGCAACAATCCACGTCTTCAAATTGAGGAAAAATGAGCGATACAGTTTTGAGAGAAGATTTACAAAAAATTGTGGTCAGCCAAGGGGAATTTGTGTAGCATCCTCAAAAGTATATGTCTGTGAGCCAGAGAAAAATGAAGTTATCGAATATACCATTTGCAGGAATGGGACAGGGAAAGTTCTTAATAAATACGGTAAAGGTGTTGTGTTTCTTAAACAACCATTGTATATTTCAGTGGAAACAGGTGACAGGATAAGACTTTTGATATCCGATACTGAACTAGGCTTAAAAAGAGTTGTAATCCATGAGCGTGAGAACAATACAAGTGGATGGAAAAGTCCGAAGGGTGAACATTTCACACCATCGAAACCTTGTGTTTGTAAGAAGAGTGTTGTTGTAGGAAATTCAACAGGTCAAAAATTACATTTTGTGAATTTTCAGACTCGAAAGTTGAGCCACAAGGAGTATGAAATAGAAGATAGGTTTCACAGTCCCGTTGCTCTTGCTTTTGACAGCGATCATGGATACCTCATAATGGCGTGCAAAGATGGTCTGATTGTTATTTATCGCACTGTGGATTTTGTTGAAATGTACGAAATAGTGCCTGAAGTGAAAGACGATGATCCACTCTATGCAAATCATTATTTCGCAATGAAATGACTGTTAGACATAAACTATATATTATGTAGCCGTTCTATATTTAATGTCAAATCTACAATAAACAATAATAATTTGAAAACACACATAAGAGCTAAGTTTCATCCCTTCTTTGTTGATGCTATAAAAGGTTTACTTGCAATTGTTGTGAGAATATGGATATTGATTTTTATCAAATAAAATATTCCTGCAATAGATAACATAATGACGATCTTCAATTTCTTATATTTGTTGTCATAACAGTAATTGAAATTAAAAAAAAAATTAAACAATGACGTATTTCGTAGCTATTTGAAATCTGCAAGTATGTTCTTATTCGTTTCACTCAAACGAACATAAAACATTATGAAATAAACAAACTCGTGAGGTAGGATGTGAAGCGCTCTGAAAGTGCAGTTTAATTATCAATACACATAACATTCAATTTTTCTTTTTCTACAGTATGTCAGCATGCATGCATCTCCAAATTCTACAAATAGAGAATAAAAAATTTACTACAAAGTATAAATCTACAATATTCAAAACGTAGCAATGGGCGGGTCGGTGGGGCTTATAAGACTGCACGAAACAGAGCCTTCGAATGGCTTTCTCTATACAAAATTTCTTTCATGGTCACTAATAGCCCGTGCTATGAATATTTATGTCACCTCACTAGGTGACAATATTAACAGCCAATAGATGACGAGAATAAACAAACACAAACACGTGTTTGAGTAACATTAATAAATACGTTTATGTTCTTATTCGTTTCACTCAAACGAACATAAAACATTTATGAAATAAACACAAACTCGTGAGGTAGGATGTAAAGCGCTCTGAAAGTGCAGTTTAATTATTTCGAAGACAAAGAAGATAGGAATACGAATATACTAAATACCCAAATTTTTTGTGACTGAAAGTTTTTCGGTTTGGTTTTCTTTAACATATCCATCTTTAGCATTATCTGACCTCCACCGCCCATGCTTCTTAAACAGTCTATCACAAACACCTGAGGCGGCTGCAGAGGTGGCTCCACCTGATCTCAAACCGTGTACACCAAATTTACGCTTGTCTAAACCAATCTTTTCAAGTGCGTCAAATATAATTTCCCTTGCCCTTGTATAAGAAATCGGACGATTATCCGATCTAAGTTTATAAGTATTGGATTTTTTACAAAACGACAGAGATCTAAACAAGTATTGAGAAGAATGCATGTCAGCTTTTGACAATTTTAAGAACTTTTCCAACATATTTACAGGACATGTGTCACAAAATGTTCTAGCAATACAAACTTTATGACCAGTTTTATAAACATCTGTTTTACTTTTAACGATGTTAATTTCTACACAATTAGTCTGTATACAGATATCTGATAACGGATGTTGACTATTTCTGAGAATCTCAAGAATCCTGCAAAACCTAATAAACACATACACAATGTTCTTAAATTATATAAATTTTTATCCTCTCCAATTGTAGAAACCAGAGTTTTCAAATGTTCAGGCGTCACTGGCTCTTTTTTTTTAATCACTGGCTTTGATGTTTCCCTAATTGCCCCTTCCTTAATAGTTTTTACAAGAGCAGAGTCACAAGGCTCTATATAACCTGCTAGGTTATGAACCCAACTGATGGCATGTATAGCTGAATGTATTTTGCCAGACGATTTATATTGCTTTGCTAAATGGATGGTATACAGAGCAATGTTATTTTCCGAAGCAGGAAGTGATTGAATCCGAGGATTAAAACTGCTGCACCATTTGCAAAAGGTGTTAAAAGCGTACCTGTACTGTTTTGCTGTATTCTCGGCCTTAGATGTTATACAATATCGGGGTAGTTCAGACGCAAATTCCGCTAGACGATGATCCTGTAATCCACAATTAAGTCCCGTCCATCTGCCCACTTTAAATATATCTGCAAAATGTGTTTATTAAAGCAAAAAATTAGCATCTTCTAAAATTCAAATTACATATTGTATGGTGTATCAGGACCTTCGTCATCTGCAATACACCCTCTTTGATGTACCAGGACCACTTTTCGCCTGCAATACATCAATTACATTTGCCACAGCTAGGCAACAATCATTGCTCGAGGTGTACCAGGGCCTAAACCATCTGCAATACACCATCACAAATTAAAGATTTGTAGCATATAAGCTTACCACAAGTATTCCAGAGCCAAAATATATAGAACCAAATAGACAGTTCTTGTTCTGACCTTGAATGATTATCTCCCTTATATCTTTAAACAATAACACATCTTTAATATAAATCTTATAATTTAGATCTACATCAAATAACATTGGTCAAAATACAGCTGAGGGCCAGTTAGGTACTATCAAAATACCATAGGCTTTGCAATCTAGTTAATGTTTAATACTAGAAACTATCAAATGAATGGGAGGAACTAGCCAATTGTTTTCGCCTACCCAATTCTGTGTAAAGCAATCTACAGCTTCTGATTCAGGGTTCCAAAATTTTGAGTTATATCTAACAAGTTTAGGATTGTTAAAATTTGCGAATCTATCAACAGAGAAAGGACCGAACATAGAACTAACAAATTCGAAAAATTCTATGGTAACTTCCCAATCATCGTGATCAATCATTTTACTGAAAAAATCCGCTTTTTCATTTTCTGATCTCGGAACCCATTGAACATCAAGAGAAATTTTATCTTCGGCACAAATTTTGAAAAAATTTTATGATAAAACTTGTAAGTGATACTTCATGCTACCGGAATGTACTATTTTCGCACAACTTCGATTATCGGTAAACCACTTTACTGTCATATTTTTTAGTTCTTTTTTGAAAGAAGCTAACGCTTATTCTATAGCTTTCAACTCTCTCCACGTAGAACTCATACTTTTCTCATGTTCTTTCCACATCAAATGAAACACCTTAGAATTAACCTCGACTGTGTATGCGCTTGATGCTGAGCTACTTGCATCTGAATAAATGATTAAATTTTTTCTTTTAATAGAATGTAGATATCTTGTATTATCACAACGAATACATTCTATACAAAATTTTAGTTCTTCAAGCACTTGATCTTGATACTTGAAAAATAACTTAGAATCCCATGATTCTTTCATAGCAATTTCCATAGAAGGAAACCTTGTCATTATATTGCATATGTTACCCATTACTGGAGTCAACAAAATGATCTTCCCCACTACTTTTGCAAGTTCCCTCGCTGTTACGCCGGGAAAACGAATGATAGTTTTCTGCAGACAACAGATAGTATCGTCTATTCGTCTGTCCGGAACTGAAATAGAATACAAATTTGAATTCCATGTTAAACCTAACCATTCAATGACTTGAGTTGGTATAAAATGTGATTTTTCAACATTAACCACCAGACAATGTTTTCTGAATAAACTGAGAATCTAAAGCACATTGACTCTCGGTTGAAGCAAATGCCAGACCATCATCTAAATATAATACAATCATAATGCCATTTTTTCTCAAGAATTTAACAATGGGTCTTAAACATTTAGTAAAAATGAATGGAGCTGACGAAAGACCGAAAGGAAGAACTGTATAGCAGTAATACTTGTTATCCCACTGGAATCCTAAATAAGTTTGATAATTCTCAGCTATATCTATGTGATGATATCCTGATTTCAGATCGAATTTGATACAATAAAAACCCTTTTCGAAATAATCTAATGCCGTCTTCCAGTCTTCAAACTTTATTTTTTATACTTTACATATTTATTTAGCCTACTAAGATCAAGGATCAACCTCTTTTTGTTTTTATTTTCTGCGACGCTCAGTGGACTACACACAAATGGTTGAAAAGGAACTTCTAAAATACGTTTGTTTTTCATCACCTCTGAAATTTCTGAAGTAACAAATTCAATATTGTTAATAGCAGACTTATTATTTCGAAATTAAACACATAGAAGGAGGATTTGAAACAATAGGAATTTCATAGCCAGATTCAATAACTTTCAAAATAAATGGATTTGTGCCAATTTCCTTCCATTTACCAACATTTCTTTTCAAACTGTGCTTTATCAATGAGATTTGCTTTGATTCATTTTTTCTGAAGGCATTTCACCTGGCCAGCAAGAGTAGAATAGCATGTATAACCTGTATACTTATCATTGACTTTGTGAATTGTTTTGGGGGCAGTTGGTTTTCCAGTGCCCGGTGGAAAAGCAAATGAAGCAAACATCACTGGGCTGTGATTGACGCCTTGCAGGTTTGCCACGAAAGGGCTGTTGCTGGTATGTGAATGGTTGAAGTGCAGCAGTAGAAGAAGACCCAGAAGAAGTAAGTTGGGCTGCCGAGCCTGCTGCTGCCGCCGCTGGAGAGATTCTGTAGTTACCATACGGGTGAAAACGCTTGTTCTGCGCTTGCTTTTGCTGCCCGAGAGCGCGGTTTTCAGCGCTTCTAATTTTCTTCTCATCTTCAGAATTGTCTGCAATTTATCTGGATTGGTACTCATTTACTGTTTTCCACCCTGCGGGAGAGGAATCGGCAATTCGAATGTGTTTCTGGCGGGTTTTCAGTTTTTTCCGTAATTCGTCTATAATTGACACTGACTCACTATCTTTATTTTCGAAAGCTCTAACTTTCAGTTTTTCTAGACCCTCGAGAATTTCAGCATTACAATCGTACTGAGCACGATTCCCTTCAGATTTAATCTTTAGAATAGAGTTTTCTTTCAGTTTCTTAGCAATGGACTCTGACTGTTCTGCTTAAAGCTGACCTGAAAGGTTTTGAAATTGAGACTGCAACACTCCCGTAACAAGCTTTACCACGTCCGAAATATCCAACGGGGTGTTACCAGCAGTTTCCTTTGGAACTCTGTTACTTTCGTTGGTTTCTAACAAAATTTCGTCTCCAGAATCGCCCATGACAAATTATTGAGAAAGACGAAAAAAGGTGTGTGGACTGCACGAAACAGAGCCTTCGAATGGCTTTCTCTATACAAAATTTCTTTCATGGTCACTAATAGCCCGTGCTATGAATATTTATGTCACCTCACTAGGTGACAATATTAACAGCCAATAGATGACGAGAATAAACACACACAAACACGTGTTTGAGTAACATTAATAAATACGTGTATTATTTAGTGAGAGATGTCTTTGTTTCTTTGTACACACAAGTCATTTAACATTTTTTGTTATTGGTTTAAATTTCAAAATTTTCCTTATGGAGTAAAAGTTATTAATTTTAATCAGTACGTTGAACTGACTGTATTTGATAAATATACTCCGAGTCGCATATGACGATAAAAAAGTTATCATACTAATTATATGGGAAATTTTTAGTGGTTCTTTGAATAAGCTTTCAAGTGGCTTAAACCTATTAAAACCATGATTATATATGTAAACAATACACATGTATTTGGACAGAGGTTGGCTACTTTTCAGAATTATATTGTGAAAGCCATAGGGGAACCCAGGTTTTGTTCTATATGCGTCTATTACTTAATAATTCAACCTGGTCAATCATATTTACATGTCAGGGTTTCAAACCCGACTATGGAATTCCATATCATATCATATGCTTTCGAGCACTCTGATATTTAACAAAGTTTATTGACTTAACATTTAATAACACTAAACCAAAATTAAATTGTCTATGGAATCTTCTATCTTTAATAATGTATAGTTACAAGAAAAATGGTTTCCAATTCGTACTTGACCCTAATGCCATCAGATATAAAAAGATTAATTCTTTCACCATTTTTTTCTATCCTATTTTAACCTAAGCAAGTTTTTTTTTTTAATTTTGGTTGTTGTTTCTAGAGAAGATGATCACGTGAAGAATCTGTATAGAATGAGAGATACAAATTTCAGACATTCTGCAATTAGAAAAGCAAACTTCTCAGACGGGGCTAGTTTAAACATTTATAAAATTGAATCGTCCATTTTTTTAAATCACATTTCAAAAGTTAAGTTACAATTTCAAAGTTTGCATAGTGAATATTTCCTATGTTTTCTATGTTCTAATATAATCATCATCCGCACATCTACATGTACCTATCTATGGATTTTAGATTTATTTTACACCTGATTGTAATGGACTTCTTTACGTTAGATTCAGTTTTAATTCAATATGATTCATTTGGATTTTAGAACTAAAGCAGCAAAATGTATGCAATGTCAAGGGAACTTACGTGGTTCTAAATCAAAAGCTGTACTTTAATACGTGGTACTAAATCAAAAAGCTATACTTTATCAGTCAAGCATTTGATATAAGAGTCCTTATTTTGTTTCCAAATTCAGTAATTCAATATGCTTCAAGCTGTTGCAATATTTATTTCAATTTCTGATACAATATCAAGCAATTTAAAATCCTCTACTTTTGGTGTAATAAAGCAATCTATTCTATTCTTTTTCAGGATGCATTTCAAACTGACTGTATCTCTTTTTTACACCGCTTATAGTTTCTTTGTTGCTGCTGGTATGTACCTTTATTATGTGTGGTGATAACGATATTTAAAATACTTGTTTAAGATTAAAGTTTATCGTAGCTGGGTCAAAAGAAAAAGAATAAAAATGTTTCTAACTTGTTTAGTTTGTATACATTATGAAAATGTTTGCTTTTTATTCAATCGACTCCGAAAACTCTATATTAAATCAAAGTCAAAGTACTAAATGATTAAATTCCATGTAAATAACTATTAAACAAAGTTATCGAAATATATTTTTTGTAATTTCCGGTATTTTCCGACTTGATAGATTGTATTTCCTGACAAGGTCAGTGTATCGACCATAAAATTTGCGAAATGTTGACTTCAAACGACTGTTATATCCTTGTTTCATCAACTTATTTGTCAATAGCTTACCTCGTTTTAAAAATTGCTCGTACAAAGAGCATGCCCTTGCGTATCGAATCAACTGGGAGACATAAACTCCATATGCAGGTGATAATGGTATATTGCTATATAAATAAGGAAAGTTGACGATAGAAAAGTTAAATTCATCAAGTTTATCATAAAGTCTTGTTGATGGGTTACCACTAATGTCTTTTTCTAGTAAAATATCAAAAATGAAAGATTTGACAGACTCTGTGGTATCTTCTATTTCGAGTTTAAAGGGATATATTGAACCAACGTAGTAAAGAAAATGAATGTTGTTATTCTTAACCCATGGCCTAAAATGCATACCTGTATCCGTTTGAATTATAAAAATTTTCTTATGAAGAAAATATTTTATTTTGACATTTCTTCATTAATTTATCATGGAAAACACCTAGAGTAAGAGATGAATGTAATTAATTGAATCTCAAATGACATTTTGATATGAAAAAGAATTATTCTGAAAGACATAATGAGAGTAATGGAAATTTTTCGTAAATTTCAATTCAATTCAATTCTTTATTGCCCTTGAGTTGTACAACTCACCAGGATATCACAAATTGTTCACAAATATGCACACAGTAAAAACTATATAAGGCGTACAATTATTATATAAATATACTATATAATAGGCTGTCATTACATCTCAATGCAAAAGATTTTAATTTTACAGCTTGTACTATAAATTTTTCTATGTTATTTATAAGTGTTTTTGTGTTCTCCACACCATTAAAGAGTTAAACTAATTTAAATTTTATTATTACATAAATATACTATATAACAAATCGGAAGAACTCCCAAAATAATGTACAGAGGTGTATTTTTTGTGTGTGAAAATACTACTTTGGAATTTTCCTTATTTTTCCAATGGTATACATAATAAATAATTGTAATAAACATAATTTGTGAAGAAATGTTTAACAAGCCCCTGGATGGGATATTGGAAGGGGGACCTCTCCACAAGTACCTGTGGTCATTTGATGAATGTTTTATCTTTACTGACAACGGTTCCTTGAATATTCAGAGAGTGACCCTTTAAAATACGAATAATAATCCACCAATACATGTATACTAAAAATTGAGTCTACCAATGAAGAAAACCAGCCCTGATTTTTAATTTCATTAGGAAAAAAAAAAGATAAAAAGTTTCAATACTTCCACTGGAGTCATCATACATCTTAGCCTTTGACACATAAAATTGAGTAGCAAAACAATCAACATTTCATTTTATCAATTTGGTAATGCGTTGCATTCCAGCCATACCTCCTACATCGAGTTTTGTTTCATTTGTCATTATTTCGCATTTATCTATAGATATGTAAGAGAGATTAAGTGCTGCTCTTGTGAAAAGCCTGCATTTTTATAGGTTTTGCTGAAACCAAGTGTAAATACCCATGGATAGAATTCAATGGACATTGCTATATGTTTGGAGTGGACCAAAAAACTTGGTTTGAAAGCAAAGTATAATCTAAACTACTTAGATACATTAAAAATGAAAGAAAAAATATTGTTTAAAGTTTTCCGTAGTGATACTTTTCTCAAACTTTAATGCCATTATTCTAAATACAAAACGAACGCTGAACAAGCATCATGATATAATTAAACAATTTGTGTAAACTATGTGTAAACTGCTCTACTTACAAACATCTACTAATATGAACATCTTTATTATTGTAAAGATTACATTTCACATTTGCTGTTAAATTTGATTATTTCAGGTTGCGTGCAACACAAAAAATGCTTATCTTGCTAGAGTAGAGACACCTTTGGAAAATGACTGGATTATTCAGCAACTCTTTGCTTTAAGTAATGAATATTGAAGATTTATTATGTGATTTGTTATTGGCAAGTCCTTTGCACACAGCCCAGATTCTTGTTTGAGGTTTAAGATGAAGTTTTAGCCAGGGCTCCTCAAGAATCAGTTGTAGATTGTGCACAACAAAGAACTTTTTATGAAAATACCCCATATGTTTTGTTGGAAGATTTACATACATCTATTTTTTAACTTAAAATTTGTTCCACATATATATATATGCACGTTTGCTTTTGTCTGCAGTCTCCTGAAAGTGCTTTAGCATATTCTTTTAACCAAGTGTATTCCAAGCAGTGAATGTAACGACTGTAAATTCTGTATTTTTTTTTTCTGCTTACATATATCTGAAATTCATACTGAAAAACACTGAAGTGGTTAGCCATGAAGAGAAAATTGAGGCGCAAATTGGCTTAAAACCAAATGCAATGCATTTTGATCATTGAATATTTCAAAAATCAATACAGTCTTACTTTCATATTCGCTTAATAAATGAATTGATCAATTCAGAATATTTTATTACAGAGTAGCATTACTTCCTTTTTGTTTCAAATTAATGTTGTAGATAAAATATGGTATGTTTGGATTGGTGGAAACACTTTGAGAAAAGTTGGAGATTGGAAATGGGAATCAACAAACGAAAAAATTGGATACACCTTCTTTTATCCATCAGAGCCCAATCGCCCAACAACAGAGAGATGCCTGTGTTATTTTAGTCATGATAGAAAGGTGTTTTATTGGGGAGATCGTACATGCAGCTTAAAAGGGGGATTTATTTGCGAAAAGGATAATTGAGTTTGAAAAAAAAATTCTATGTATATAT